GACGGACGGGCTTGGTTCATTACCTTAATGGCATCTGGAATACCGATATTGATTGCCGGAAACCCAACACAAGAGAATCGGACGGTTTCGAAGCAGACATTCAATTTCTTGGATCCAGGGATGCTGCGATTTGCCACTCTCTATTGCTGAAAGACAGCTAGCCGAATCGGACAGAATGATCACGTCAATTATTGTACTCGCCTCGTTGACAGCCGATTTGATCGCATAGGCCTCCGCCGAAAAAAAAAACGGTACATTGTGACGGAAGGCCTATTGCTCTCTGCACGTTGCCGCTGAATACTCCTGCTCCTACTCTGTCTTCACACCTAGAACCGTCGGTATACATAGCCGTAGCACGGTGAAACCTAAGAGGAAGAGGTGACAATTGGCTTCTTACTCTTTAATTTCTATCTCTATCTCTATATTTATCTATGTCTATCTCTATCTTACGCACATTAAATCAGCCAATCACGAGCTGGTTCACGTTTGACAGAAAAGTGGTTCATTTTTGCCCCCGTATTGTCACCTCTTCTCTTAGGGTGAAACCGGTTTGCCAGCAACTCTTGAATGATGGGACGCACTGTATCTGGGGGTCTCCCGCTTTCACCTGTCGTTTCACAAAATGCTCTTGAAGAGGATCGCTTGGAAATCTCTTGAAACTCTCCTTAGAATTCCATTGTAAATTTCTTCAGAAGCTCCTACTCAGAGTTTCTTTTGAAATAAGCATAACATGTTAAGCCATATCATCCCAAACTTTTCGATATTTCTTCAAAATTCTTATGAATTCTTTTAGAAATTCGATTAAACTACCTTCGAACTAGCTTAAAATTATGATAAGATTTGTTTTTTTTAGCTAAATTACGAATTAGATTTCTTTGTAGTTATCATCAATATTTCGTTGAAGCTCTCCTCCAAATTTCTCTTTGATTAATTGATCGATCAATATTCAATAGATTATCAGCCGTAGATGATCGTTTGGTGTAGTTTCAGGATTGTAGTTATATTATCATTATATTTTCCTCGTGAACTGTTCCAGGCCAAATCATGAAAAAAATAAGCAAAGGTACATAGTTGAAGATGCTAACTTTCAAATAACAGACTGTAGTGGTAATTTTTATACGATAGATGGAGTAGATGAAATAATAGGGTTCATAGTTCCGTTAGAGTACGGCAGTGTGAAAATTGCATATAGATAGTAGAATAGCGAGCTAGGACAACTTTAAAGGAAGGTACAAATCGGTTTTTTCATCTCTCTTTACCAAACTCCCCATTTGGAGAGGGATGGTGAGGGGTGTCCCCCCGCGCCACCACTGGCAAAAAGAGATGAAAACCGACCGCTCAAGTACCAACGATGTGTTTGAAACAGTTCTACCGATTTTTTACCGTACTTCAGTTGTTATTTGAAGGAAGGCATCCAGTCGTAGGTTTGGAAACTGCAACTATTGTTTACCCCTACCACGATATGTGCTCCTGTCATCGTCGACTTGACGATCTCGAGGGGACACGCCAGTGGTGGCGGGGGGGGGGGGGGTAGGGGACACCCCTCACCATCCCTCTCCAAATGGGGAGTTTGGTAAAGAGTGATGAAAAAACCGATTTGTACCTTCCTTTAAAGTTGTCCTAGCTCGCTATTCTACTATCTATATGCAATTTTCACACTGCCGTACTCTAACGGAACTATCAACCCTATTATTTCATCTACTCCATCTATCGTATAAAAATTACCACTACAGTCTGTTATTTGAAAGTTAGCATCTTCAACTATGTAAATCGTTGACTTCACGCAGAAGTAATACTAAAACATATAGTCAAAGTAAGCAAAGGTAGATTTTACCTCTCTGAATTCCATGAAACTTCGCAATGCGTGTTGGGAAAATATCGAAAAATCAAATCTCACCAATGCCCAAGATTACGCTTTCGTAGACAAAAATCAACAAGCAAACAACTGCGGTTGATTTTGCAATCTGTGATATTGCAGCTCGAAACTGTGGTGAGATTGAGTTTCATGATTTTTGCCTAGATTTTTGCTATACACCTGAACGCAACCGAAACATTCATAACGGCTGGCAGCAGTCGCTTCGTGTCTGCCATCTGTAGAGAGTAAAAAGAGATAGCAAACGATACTTTCTCTTTCTAAGAAAACGATGCACAACGCAAACATTTTTGTGTAGAGTCAACTCTCAGCTTTTTGATTTGTGTGCGTTGTGAATAGTCTCGCAATATCAAAGGAGCTTGTAAAATCAATATCAAGCATGATATTTTGTTCCAATATCACGTGTGATAGGAGAAATGGCTCTAATGTTGGCCTATGGATCTAAGATTGGGCCCATCGCTAATAGTCTGCTATTTATGAATTGTATCTAGATGATCGCGTCATTAGGACGGGATTAATGGCTATTTTTGGTCGCTATTGAAAATTTAGTCGATTGCTGAATTTATGTATGAGCCCAAATTAGAGACATTTAGACCGACATTACATACATTTCGCCTATTAAAGGGTGATACGGTCAAAATTTGGTCAAGGGCAAACGCGTGTAAATCGGTTAAATCGTTTATTTAAAAAATCAAATTAAATTTCTTTTTCAAGTTCAATTAGTATAAAATTCAGGAAAAATATTCAGTTAGGCTTCCGCTTTTCCAAATCCGAATTGCCGGGCCTTACGCTTGACCCCTGCCATCAGATTTTGTACAGCCACCTTGTCCACCTTCTTCGCCGCAGAAAGCCAGTTTGCCTTGAACTGCTGATCGCCCTTAGAAGTTTTTTTGGTCTTCTTTAGGTTCCGCTTGACAATAGCCCAGTATTTCTCAATTGGGCGGAGCTCTGGCGTGTTGGGAGGGTTCTTGTCCTTGGGAACCACCTGCACGTTGTTGGCGGCGTACCACGTACGGAACAACCGTGTTTCTTCAGGAAAGGCAGCAGACGTTTATTCAAACACTCTTTCACGTAAATTTCTTGGTTGACAGTCCCGGAAGCTATGAAAATGCTGCTTTTCAAGCCACAGGTACAGATGGCTTGCCAAACCAGATATTTCTTTGCGAACTTTGACAGTTTCATGTGCTTGAAAACATCTGCTACCTTTCCCCTTCCTTTTGCCGTATAAAACTCCTGTCCCGGAAGCTGCTTGTAGTCGGCTTTGACGTAGGTTTCGTCGTCCATTACCACGCAGTCAAACTTCGTCAGCATCGTCGTGTACAGCCTCCGGGATCGCGCTTTGGCCGTCGTATTTTGTTTATCATCGCGATTTGGAGTCACTACCTTCTTGTAAGTCGATAGTCCGGCTCGTTTTTTGGCTCGATGCACGGTTGTAGACGATACACCCAGCTTATTTGCGGCATCTCGGAGAGAGAGGTTAGGGTTTCGCTTGAAACTACCGGCAACTCTCTTTGTCGTCTCAGCGGCTTCCGGTTTTCGATTTCCCCCCGATCCAGACTTCCTGGCTGTCGACAAACGTTCCCCAAACACTTTAATTACATTTGTAACGGTTGATTTGGCAACTTTTAGCGATTTTGCCAACTTTGCGTGCGAGTAGCTCGGATTTTCGCGATGCTCGAGCAAAATTTTGATACGCTGCTCTTCTTGCTTGGACGGCATTTTGACAACTGAAGAGTGAATTCCAAAATCAAAATAGGAGCAACATTCTACACACACACACACCTTCAAAATGAGGGGTGTTCAGGTTTTTTAAATGCAAAATTGAAAGAAATACGTCAAGTTGATATTGACCAAATTTTGACCGTATCACCCTTTAAGAGCGTATGAGAGTGGAAAAATATCATTTGATTGATGATTTTGCCAACACTGCTTCGCATAATTGTTCGCTAGCGGCAATGAACCAATGTTGTGCAGAAATTCGGACATTTTGATTCTTGTATAGTTTTTCAAAATGGCCTATTCGATATTTTTCAATAAATCATAGCTCAAAAACGGCATCTAAGCGAAATGAGGTCTGAGACAAAGTTGTACGAAACAGAATTGCCTTTTCAGAAAAAATACGCACAAACATTGAAAAAAAAAAAACTTAAATGAATAAATGAAGAGAGGTTTCACTCAGTCTATTGGCCTCCTGCGCTGAGTAAAATTTTCGAATATTTGCCGCATATTCTTGTAGATTTTTGAGCAAAACCCAGGATTTTTTATTCAGTCTACGAGTAACCTACGTTTTCACAGTTTTGAGTAAAAAGCCACTACATTGGAGGAAGTGAGATTGAAAAATTTAATCCTTCGAGGTGAAGATGAGTTACTCAGACTCATGGATCCAACCCCATCTGGTGACCGGAGGCTTTCAGTGAGTGGATCTAAAATTAAGCAGATAATTTCATTGTGTCACGAACTGCACATTTTATTTGTCAACCTAATAATCTAATCACCTGTTGAGTAACGTCTTAATTAAGTGCCAAGCCATAGTATGGCATGAAGCACTCAAGCTTCAACAAACAACCTCCATCGCATTGATGTGTATTCCAAATTGTTCCAAGTTCTCTTTTTTTATGAATGAAAGTCATTCAAGCAGAAGCACAAAGGCATATGTACATATCGCGACAAGTTGCTCTGTACCGTAATGAATGTTTACACTTCTGTCGTTGTGCTGCTGCACTCGCTGACTAGCTATTTCCCATATGCTAACTTGTGGCTAGATGTACATTTCATTTTCGTTATTGCATTGCGTGTCGAAATATGTTTAGCTAATCTTTTGGTCGTGAACGCGAGGTACGAGTGCAACCTTACGTGTCACGTCACATAAAAGCGAAGCTAGATAGGTGTCCCAGCAGTCGGAAGGGCTAACGGGCTTCACCCACAACTGAAAACTGACTGACATGCATTCAAGTGAACAACATCCGAACGGTAATTTCTGTTTTTGACAAAATAATTCCACACAACGATGACAATTGTTTCCGCGCCTCCAACGGTTCCACGGTCTTTCATGTGACCAATTTTATGATCCAACGCCTTCGACACTGTTTCTGTTTCTCACGCTAGATGTTTTTCCCTCTATTTGCAGCGTTCATGATTGCTACCCAATTCTTCTTCACGCTCTGTACGATCGGGGTCATACTGTCCATGATAATGGTTCTGTTCTTCTTCCTCTGCGCCGGGCCGGATCAGAAATTCTTCCTCAAGTTAATTCGGGTAAGTCGAAGATCTGCTTCGTTGAAACAATGATCGGTTAACTAATCTGACGAATCCTTTTTTTCAGACCATGGGTTTCCTCACGCTTGCGTCGGGGATTTTTGGCGGAATCGGCGTTATCGTGTTTGCCATCTTCGGCAACAAGGACAAATGGATGCCGGAGCACGCCAACAATTGGTTCGGTTGGTCGTTCATCCTGGCCTGCATCGGAGCCATCGCTTGCGGAGTGGCGTCGTCGCTGTTCCTCACCGAAGCCCACGTGCAAACTCGAAGGCGACGACAGCTGAAGGAATCGCAAACCCGATTCCAGATCGACAGCGAATCCAAGGCTTAGACGTAGACTAAAGTGTGCTCATTCGAAGGAAAGAAAAAAAAACCAACGAAATCGAAACGCACATCAGTTGTTGGAAGGAAGCAAAAATCAAACAGTACAATCTCGAGAATATGCCTTTTTTTACGACGTTTGAAAAGTCTTTTAACTGAATAATCTGTAAATACGAATCGTAAATTTACTTTTACAATTGAGCTGTAGTGTCTGCACATCAGAATCAGCTATTTTTAAAGTAATTTTGATCGTACTTGTTCGAAACACGAATCCGTCCGTAAGAAGAATCTCTATGTTTACAATCTATGTTGCGTCAATTTTTACATGTTGCGCGTTATTTTACCTTTGAATGTAGATAACTTTAATAAAAAAAATAGAAAACATTCCACCAACACACAAGCTGCAATCATAAATCGTCGTTCATTCAAAGCAACCTAGTAGATTTATCGAAATATAGAATGCCAAATTAATGTGTCGACACAGTGACGAAGAACAATCGGCAACAATCGATTTACCCTCACCCTATCATTTCCCGCCATCTCAACTGACGATCGCAGGTGTTTGGGTTTACTTAAAAGCGCGCGAATTTTTAAGTTTTTCGTTTCTTAAAACTTTATAATTTTCCTGTCCTTTTGTTGTTTAGATGTCCCACGACATCGGCAATTGCTGCCTTGAATAAGATAATAAATGGTAAAGATGTAAGCTGAAACGAAATGACGTTTTATGCGTTCGATTCTAAGCAAAACTGTCACGGTGACGATTGGATGACTCGTCGAAACGAAAATGCAATTGGCTCATGTTGTCTCCATTTTACGAACGTATGTGTCTGCTCTGGCAGGATGGAAACGTTTTAGATGTAAGTTAGATTACTAAGAGATAGATTTTCTATTGTAGAATAAACATTCGAATCAATAAATATTTTTTAGTATTATTTTTTGTGTGTATTTCTGATAAGAGAAAGTCTTCAAACTAAAACGTAATGGTTGGTCATATTTTTCTGATTTGCTAGGTCGTAACTGTTCCATTTGAATAGGAAAGCAAGCAAAGATGTGACTGTTATGCTTTTATGGGCAGAACAACAGTGTTAAGTGTTTCCTACCGGTGACATCCAGGATTTTATTTCCGGGAATTTGACCAAAAATCACGACTTGCAATCTTAGGCATGCAAAATATAAATTTCAAGTGGATGCAGATGGAAACTTTTTGGTGAAATCTTCCAGATACTTTACAGGAAAAGCATCCAGCAAAAGTAGGAAGAAACATCCGGGGGAAGCTGTGTTGTAATTAGTACTGTCGGCGAATACCATCTTGCTGGTAGGCTAAAAGAAAAAAAAACAAAAGGCCTTTTCCATCCACAGTGTGAATGTTTGTTTATTGTTTGTATGTAGGGTAACTGATGATGGTTGGACCTATTTAGGCCGGTTGCGCACGACGTCAACATTCATATCGTATTTTTTTTATGAATTCAACATATAATTATGAAAAATGCGTGATTAGGGGAAAGATCTACCTTTCTTTTTTTCTAACATAAAAAGTTAAATATTATGAACAAATGATTTTATAAAACGTTTTTATTCAGCAAAGAATTATGATGCTGGTTGGACCTATACTGATCTTGGTTGGACCTAAAAAATGATGATGGTTGGACCTATTTTTGCAAATGCTAGTTTAGCCCATATTTGTTCAAAAACTTTGTTTAGAGCCTATTGGTATCATGAAAAAACCCTTTCTATACAGTTTTTATGAATTTGCTATTTAAAAAAATCAAGAAATTTGAGTTTGACTTCGTTTTTAAAAAAGTTCACTTTCCACGCATTAGCTATTCATCATGGCTCATTTTCTCGGAAATCATTGACCCTATTTGGGAATTTTTAAACGTCTATACGTTGTGGTCCCATTGAAAGCTATCGAATATTTTTGGACGCGGTCTACTGGTTCCGGAGATATGGCCGGAACAAGTTCCAGGGTATATGGAACATGGACCTAATTTTGACATGGAAATTCGATAACAAGATCAATAACAAAACTGAGTGCCTTGGACCACATTGGCCACTTCCGGGCATGTTCTGGGTGCTCCCGGGGAATTTAGTGGCTTAAAATGACAGAATATCAGAACTCAATTCCGCTTTTATAGTTTTTTTTTCTCTTAGGAGTTTTTTTTTTCGGAAATAAGTTTCAGTTAGCAATTTTTAGTTTGTTAACATTTTATTTCAAGTTAATTCACACACAGAAGTTGTATGAGAAGTGCTTAATGTAAATTCATATTAACAGATTCTTTCGGCGCTTTCGTGGTAGTTCGGAAATCGGTGGTTACCCTTTCAGCCAACCTGACGATGGAATTCCTCCTTTAAATTTACGCCCAACTAGTGACTCAAGGTCTTTAGCAGCTTCCAAGATCTTTTTGGTCATCTTGGGACTGCCAGAAGCAGCGCGCATACAAACCCAATCCCCTAGATGGTTCTCCAAATCAACACTCAACACTATTTCCCTTCCATATTTCTTGCCGTGGCTTCCCTTAATTTTTGCGTGAAGTGTCGTTTTCGAAATATTGTACCTTTTTTGTGCCTAATACGCGGTAAGTGATTTATTTCTTACTAAAAAAACAGTCTCTTGAAGATTTTCGACCGTATAACTCTTTTCTTTAGCCATTTTTTTCAATCGAAGAAACTGATCACTCGGCCAAAACGAAATCGAATTTCAAATCAGCTGCGCATGAAGGATGTACACAAACCGAGCGGCCGTCTTAGGAAACACATAGGTCCAACCATCATCATGCGTAGGTCCAACCATGATCATATTTATCTATTCGAATTTCATCAATTATTCAAACATTTTAGTGAAACCAATGGATAAATGACGTACTAACGTGTTGTTTACACCTTAAAGCAGTATTTTACTGCATTAAAATAAAAATAAATGTAAAAAATATTACTTTTTTGTATGTTTGAAAGTAAGGCATGATGACGAGCTAATGCGTGGAAAGTGAACTGTTTTGAAAACACATTGAAACTCAATTGTTTTGAAGTTTTTTCCTTAAAACACCCATGCAAATTGAAGAAAAGAAGTTTTTTTTATTAAGTAAAGTGATCTTTGAAAAAAAAAAAATTTGCGAAGATTGACTAAACTAGCGATTGAAAAAATAGGTCCAACCATCATCAGTTTTTGGATAGGTCCAACCATCATCAGTTACCCTACATATGGTAGAGCACTACTTCGGCCTAGTTGCCCATTTTGGGCCTATCGAGCAATTATGCGTTTGGTACAATACTTTAGTTCAAAAGCTACCAAACTAAGTCAATGAGAACGTGTGATATGAATGTTTACATCAATTTTCTAAAAAACAAAAGAAGCGCTCTGACCGAATCAATTTTTATCTTCATCCGGTAGGCCGAAGTGAATTCAATGGCGTTTGAATGAAACGGCATTAGCCCTAATTTATAACCCGTATGCCGAGTTTGGGGTCAAGAAGCAGTGTTAGATTTTTAACAATATCTCAACAATTTGTTTCTCTTTAGCAAACCTTAGGGTATGTATGGAAGGGTAACACAATTTAGAAGTCATCTGCATTCCATTTTGTGAAAAAAAACTTCACTCGAAAAATAGAGGCAAAGGGCAGGTTGTGCTTAGTAGGCCCAAAAAGTAGATCCAAGCCATACTTGATTGTAAATGGTTATTGAAAATGATTTTGTATTCAGTTTGAATAGTGGTTTTGTTTGTAGAATATTTGTATTGTAATCGTTTTTCTTAATATCATGAGCATGATTGACCGCCCGTGGATGCCACTTCTTTATTGCCAGGTCAGATGTAATTACACAGAGACCCAATAGACGTTGCTTGGGACTAGAAATCATCCTCAATGTATATTTACTGATGATATAAAACTAGGCAATACCAGCGCAGGCCACGTCCGAATGCTGATCAAGAAAGGAATGAGTAGGAATATGTTGACGCAATACCGCTTTAATGGGTGAGCTGCGCACCCAGAGGAAAGAGTGGATCACAGATGAAACCTGGCGGAAGATTGAGGAGCGTAGAGAAGCAAAAGCCGCGATAGAGCGGGCGAGAACCAGAGGAGCCGTCAACGGTACTCGGCTCTAGAGAAGGAAGTCAAGCGCTCTTGCAGACGGGACAAGCGAGCGTGGGTGAACTCCCTGGCCGACGAAGGGGAGAAAGCCGCAAACACTGGCAATATGCACCAGTGTTGCCAGATTGTTTTCATGATTATCGGTATCAAATGATTAAAAAATCGGTATTTATCGGTATTCACTATTTAATTATTTATTTTTACTTAAATCGAAAGATGTACTTTCTATGTAAGTCGGAAGAAACTTCTGGGAAATATTTGAATTAGTCTCTTTATGGTACCAACAAAACTTCCAGAGGAAGAATAAAGAAGATTTAGTGGAGGAAGTTTGAAGGAAGTTCTAAAAAATGTATAAAAAACATCCAATGGGGATCTTCCAAGACAAATATTGAGAAACTTCTGGCAATATTTTTTAGAAACTTTCGGAAAAAATCCATAAGCCAGAAAAGTTTGGAACTCGGAAGCCAATCACGGAGGAGCCATTTCCAGGGGAAGTTAGGAGAAGCTCGGAAAAACCTTCCAATAAGTCGGAAAAAAAACCTACGGAGAGTGACTTATGGAGAAACTTCCAGAGGAAGACGAAAGAAACTTCTGGGAGAACTCAATAGATACATCCGGTAGAACTTTAATTGAACTTCTTGGAGAAGACGGAAGAAACTTCTAGGAGACACTGGGAGAATCTTCCTAACACCAGAGGACTTACGGAACAGTCGACTACTTAGAAAAGAATGGGAAAATATCTGAAAGAAATAGATTTCTGGGGGATGTTAGCACAATATTCTCTATTGATCCAGCAACTTTCCTGATATTCATAAAACATCCCTGAAAATTTCACAATATTTCTGGAGTTTTCGGAACATTCCTGAATTGCACTTTGGAATATCTCAAAATTCTTCGGAACTCCTTGAAAGTTCTTACAATTCCCCTCAAGTTAATAGGACTATTTTTAAGTTCTCTGATCATCCTTGAAGTACTTTTAACTTCCTTGATTATTATGGAAATACTGGCAAATCTCTTATTTTATTTAAAAGTCCCTGGATCTTTTTTTTTTAAATTGATGAACATCAGAACTTTCCGATATTTTTTTAAAGTTCTCGAAACTGCCGATAAAAACACAGAACTTCCCTTAAAATGCTCTCACAATTTTCTAATGTTCATGTAACTTTCCTTACGTTATCAAAATTTGCATGAACCTCTTGGATATTAACTGAAGTTTTCGGAACTTATTTAAAGGTTCAGATGCTTCCCTAAGGTTATCTCAATTCTCCTGATACAAATGGAACTATCCTGAAAACCATTAAATTTCCTTTAAGTTCTTTGGGCTTGTGAGGTTTCCAAAATATTTCAATTCCCTTAAGTTCATTGTAGTTCTCTGGGCTTTGCTGAGATTCCCGGGTTCTCGGATTTGAACAGAAGTTGATGAAACTGTCTTTAATTTATCTGAACCTACCCAAAAGTCCGAACTATTCTGAAGTTTCAGAACTTCTGAAAAGTTCCTGAAGTTTTCCTGAAACTAATGGAACCGCAATCGTAGAAGTTGAAAAAACTGACGGGAGGAGACGGAATAACCTGTCGAGCGAAGCCAGAAGAAGCTTCCAAGGGAAGTCTAAATAGCTTTCCGGAAGGAATCGGAATATAATTTACAGGGTAAGGTGGACGGAAATGCCTAGGGAAAGTTGGTAGAAACTTCAAAGGGAAGATTAAAGAAATTTCAGGAAGTTCAAAAATTAACGTTTTTATGGACCTATTTTTCCACTGAATAAAAGTATTTCCCGATTTCCAGAAATTACTTGGATGGAGCCATTAGCTGTTTCTCGACTCCTTGGTAACCAGAAACGG